TAGGCGTAACTTTTTACCTTTTTTGATGAAATGCTTTGAAACTCATAATATAAGGATATATTAGTAGCGTAGACAATATGACATGGTCAAAATAGCAAGATCTCACGCGCATGCACGTGCGCTTCGCTCTGATTGGCTGAAACTAAAGTCTCAATATCTTTCTTGTTTTTTGACGAAATCCTTTGAAATTTTGAACATAGCCATGGAATAGGATATCCTACAACATGATATATAGCAATTATCATGAAAACACGTGCATGCACGTGCGCTACAATCTGATTGGCTTAAACTTTAAATAGCTATAACTCCCTTGGTTTTCAACCAAACAGGATGGGATTTGGAACATAGATAGATATAATGGACTTCTACAAGAAGGTATGGTCACTATGCACATGCATACACGTGCATGTACGTGTGCTGCAATCTGATTGGCTGAAACTTTAAACAGCTAAAACTCCCTTGGTTTTCAACCAAACGGGATGGGATTTAGAACATAGATAGATGTAATGGACCTCTACAAGAAGGTATGGTCACCATGCTCATGTATGCATGTGCGTGCACGTGAAATGAGTAAAATCAAAAATACACTTGAATGAGCGTATTTTTTAATACTTTTGGATTAAATACTTTAATATTGTGTAGACAAGATGATATGGTCATAACGCACATGCATTCACATGCGCACGCGTGCATTGCTCAAATTTGAATGAACTTGATACACTTTTGGGTAAACGTTTTAAAGTCTCAAATGTATAGAGTTTGTCTTATTTAATGAAGCTTACAGGGAATATGGCACCAAATGGGCGTTGGGGAGCGTTTGGGGAACATCTGTAACGGTCCCCGTTACAATTAGCACTAGTTGTAACTGTTTTTTCAGGAATGCAATTTTTAACATGGTTTAAAAAACTTTTTGAAAAATTACTTTCCGCCTGATCTATATCTTTAGCTTCATTAATAAGTATTATTCCAATCTGTATTGCGTATAAGTGTGTTTAGTGTTTCAAAATCTGCATTTTTATATTGCCATATTTTCCTATCATATGATTGTGCTTGTATTGTATGTGATTTAAGATATATGTATGTGCCTTTGTGATCGCTGAGAGATTGTTCTACGTCTATTGTCCCTGAGTCCAGTACATCGGCATGTAAATATTCGCTGACGAGAATTGGGTCTATGAGAGATTTCGTGTTTTTCGTGACTCTAGTTGCGTCGCATACCGTGTTTTGGAAGGAATATTTTAAAAGAATTTCATTGATTACATCTGTGATTTGGAGATTTAGAAAATTTACATTTAGGTCACCTATGACTACAATTCTATCGGATATATCAACAGCTTTTTCAAGAGACCATTCGAATTTTTTCCAAAAAGAATTATCGGAGTTAGGAGGTCGATACACACAACAGAGCAGGATATTGCAGGTAGGATCGCTTATTTCTACCCATATACATTCTAGGTTCAAAGGTTCAAGATCAGGGCGTCTATTCGTGCGCAAAGAGTCAGATGCATATATTATTACACCGCCCCCATGAGAGTTTCTATCTTTACGAAAAATTGAGCTGAATCCGTCAATAGGAATGTCTTCGTTTAAAATGTTAGCATCAAGATGGCTTTCTGTGAAACATAAAATATCGTAATCTGACACAATACTAAGAAACTTATCAAACTTGTTTCTAATACTTCTTACATTTAAATGAAAAATTTCCAGTGTGGATTGGGTACTTTGAGATGGTCCCGGATTTGTCTCTATGTCGCCTGACAACAATAAAAGGAAATACATAATTTGAAACACATAATTGAAAAAAATATTTTCTTGTGCCCCTTTTGACAGTAAACGTTTGGTATTTTGTAAAATGTACTTAAGACGCTCAATAAGAAAATAAACAAAATCATGAAATCGTAGAACATAGAATAGCAGTGATTTTGATGTACATTTACATTTACAATAGAAAAGTCCGATTGCGGCTCGATATTGTTCTATTGTATTAGCCATTATCAAAACATAAAGAGAAATGTTGAGCAATATTTGAACCAGCCGCAAGGAGACATATAATAAGAAAACATGCAATTTTATTTCTATGACCTTTGGTTAAAAATAAAAACGAAAAAACATTGAAAAAAAGTTTAGGTAAAAAGAAATCAAAAAAGAAATCAAAAAACAAAAAAGAACAGAACAAGTCACTAGGCAAAACAAAAAGCCTATTGACAGCTACTCGGTCCATCCTTGAAAAACATATGTACACTGATACACATACTGCTACATGTAAGAGCAGCATGATTTAGACGCTTTGAAGGAAAAAATTAAGGGGAACACTTTATAAAGTTACTGTAATATGCAATGAAAGTTTACAAAATCATTATTTTATATGCGATAAAATACAATTTAACTGTCTTGCATTAAGAATGCATTTTATGAAGAAATACATTAATAGCGGCTAAACATAACTGAGTCTATCAAAGGGGGGAAAAACGAAAACAGAATCATCCCTGTATATTCTAATACTCAGATTCCGCACCTGGGGCAATAAGGTCAAGGTCATTAAAGGTACGGATCAAGTGTTTCTCGCCCTCCTTCTCGATCTTTACAAAAATGCGACCATCATTCGTCCAGTATGAGTGTATAGCCTCTGTCTGTTTCGCTTTAGACAGTTCGTGAATAATGCTCTGTCGGTACCTGGTAAGGTCTTCGGTTATAAATAAGGACGTGCCCTTTAGTTTTCGTTTTGCAGAATAAATTTTGTTTTTTACTTTCCAGTTTTTGAATTTGCAAATGATTTGAATCTTTCCGTTGGCATTGGGTTTACCGATAGGGTGGGATCGAGAAATGTCGTCCTCTTTTATATCAATGTTAAATTTGGATTTGCATAGATCTTTCACAATTACATCTGTATCTAAGTAGTTGCCCGTGTGGCCTGGCACTGTACAGTTATGGAACCTAAGAGAGGTCCTCCTGCCATACTGCTCTAGATCGTCGAGTGATGTTTCTAGATCCCATATTTGGTTTTGGAGATTGGCATTTGTTTTGTCTGCCTCCTTTAGCTGATGTTTTAAGTTCTTGATTTCTTCAGCTTGTTTGGCTATTGTCAAGTTAAGTTGGTTGAAAACTGATTGTACAGCCTTTTCTATGGTTGGTGTTATAGCACTTACCAATACGGGGACCAGCTGAGACATAACATTTTGATCACACACAGCTGAGTAAATCAGGCCTGGTAAACTGTATGTTTGTCCCTCGGATTGAATGAGGGGGGTTTGGGCAATGGGGGTGGGCTCTGTAATTGAGGAATGGGAATCTGCTTGACTAACACTTACAGCAGCACTTACAGATGTATCCTCAGGTACAATAGTCGACGAATTTGAGAAAGTGGTCATCTCAGAATTGTCATTCATATTGTCCATACTGCCCTGTTTACCAGAATTGTTTGAAGAATTCAGATCTGGGAGAGATGTAGACAGAAACCTTCTACGAGATGTTTTGTTCTGATTTTCAGATGGACTGCTAAGTTTTCGTTTTGATTTTTTGTTATTACCACGATTGTTGGAACTTGACATGAGTTCATCTCACACAAAAGCACACAAGCACAAAAGCACAGAATGTTTTGGTTTTTAACTTTGTCAATGTAGTTTTTACTGAAGTTATTTTTATATCAATTCATCTGTGACAGCTTTGCGAAATGATATATTAGTGAGTTATCAATTTTCACACACAGAAATACAACATACCCCCGTTTTTTCCTCCCGACCGAGACTAAACGTCGACGCTAGACGCCATCTTGAATCCTACCCATGGTATTTGAACGGAATGTAACATTTATTATTCACAATGATAACTTCTCGCCGTACATGGGTCCGAAACCTGTTCAACTATTTGCATGGAAACCGGAACTTGATGAAGCCATATATAGTCCGGGGGCAGAATTCCAGGTTATAAAAGTTGAGAAATATATCACAGGCTCTGTTGGTAGTGCAACTATAACTCTCAAAACTGTTCAAAGCATAAGAAATGGTTCTGATCGCACGAGAGTCAAATGTATGTCCAATGTTATCTTACTTCTTTTGATAACATATAGTGTTTGAAAAAGATTTTTTAAAAGTTTCTTAGGAGGTGTACATTAACGATTTCAACATGTGGCTGATTTACACAGCCATTAGTTTTTAACTATATGTTTGCTATTATTTTGATATTTTGGGTTACTATACATATATTTACGTGTGTAAGCTTTTTTGTTTTGCATATGCTAAGCATAGGTAAAGGCACATATCTAATTCATTTAAGCATTGAATCATTATTTTTTTTAATTTGAAAGATATTGCCACAACTGCAATGGTGCAAACAAATTGAGTTACGCGGGTTATGAAAATTTATTTGCACACACCGTTGCAGTTATGAAACTTTATCTCTAAAAAAAATAATGATTTAATGCTTATATTTACTTTATCAAACTCCTTGCCATAGTTTCAAATTTGATTTATAATTCAAAAATCCAGTTTTATCCTTTGAGTAAATAAAAATTTATGGAAGAGCCATTGCAACAACTTCTGTTCAATGTGAGCATGACTTTTTATTTTCGCTTACGACTTTGCACCTTCATGGCGTTCAACATTTGTGACGTCAAAATAAGACGCATTCTTTGGCTTCTGGGGGTCGTAACATAAAGCAAGCTAAGTTTTTGACTTAAGTACGGTCTTAAGTGCGCGTTAAGCACATTTTTAGGACCTACATAAGTACTACTTAAGTATGTCTTATACCGTAACATAAAGCGAACTAAGCAAGATCTTAGCTAAGTCATACTTATGTATTGAATTAAAATATTACACAGTGTGAAAGTTTATAAAGTAGCGTTGGTTATTACATGTAAGTGTGATATTTACTCACAGACTGAATATTTTTTACTTCTTTAATCACGCCTAGCTATTGTCACAATTGTCCTAAGGGACTTTTAGTCTTTAAAAATTCCGTCACGTTCTTATTCACTGGGATTTGCTTCTCGTTTACTGAAGGTAATGGCTCGAAAACCGAATTTTTCCAGTTTGGAAATCGAAACGTTGATAGAAGAGTTTCAGAATCATAAAGAAGTTCTTAATTCTTCGTTTAATAACACTTCCACCAACGCATCAAAACAAAGGGCATGGGCAAGTGTGGCATCAAAGGTAAATTTCTCTCTCTCTGTCTCTCTCGCTCTCTCTCTCTCGCTCTCTCTCTCTCTCTCTCAGGCATTGTAGCAACAGGGGACCAGCCCCCCTTTTTTCCCTACATTACTTTTATTATTGGAAATGTTCATTGAAAGTCTGCATGGTTGCCCCCCCCACCCCCTTATACTACAGGAAGTTCATATCAGGAAATGTAGTATGGAATGCAAAAAAGTAGTTACTGAAAGAAGTTGGCTTTGAAAAAAGTCGGCCTCTACCCACCCACCCACCCCCAGTGAAATAGGATTTTTGATTTTGGGCAATTTTCCTTTTTTCTTGTTTGCTTGTAAATTTTTTCAGGAAAGTCAAATAAAAATTATCTGCCGCCCCCCCCCCCTTTTCAAAAACGATGCTACGTCTCTCTCTCTCTCTCTCTCTCTCTCTCTCTCGTACTGATCAGTGAAAATTCAGTTATATGCATTATACGGTATTTTGAATGCCTTAGATTTCCACACATTTTATAGCAAAATACATGTGATAAGTTTTATACATATAGATATACATATTTTTGAATATTTTAAGATTTACACCGTATGTTCATATACATATTCTTTTATAATAATATAGGAAGTCATCTGTTTTATATTGTAATACATGTATTTCTTTAAAAATGAAGGTAAGCTCGGTAAGTGGGGTGACGAGAACGGCCGATGATGTCAAAAAGAAATGGAGAAATGTTTCCAGCGACTCCAAGAAAAAGCTTTCACATGCGAGGAAGGAGGCTACAAAAACTGGAGGAGGGTCATCGTCGGCAGTGGAACTAAGTGCCACAGAGTTAAGGGTATTGGAGACGATGGGACAGACAGCAACAGAGGGGATTCCTGGAGGAATAGACACTGCTGGCCCATCTTCGTCCAATACCAATCTACAGGAAACTTTCATTACTGATAGGTAATAATCAATGGATTATTATATTCATAACATAAAGCTCAGTCATTTCCACGAAGACAAAATATACTTTTATTCCCAAGCAAAAATCATAAGTGTCTTTATTTTGCATTGTTTCCATTCAGCGATCAACAAGAAAGTGTTACAGACGCCACATCAAAGACCACAAGGAAACGGAAAAGATCTTCCGGAAATGAGGAGGCGCATGACCTAGTAGAAATAGAACGGGAGAGATTAGAGGTAAAGTTTACGAAAATATCAGTACTGTATCTTTTTTTAAATTTCTGAATAATAATAAAGATTGATTTCCAAAAGTACAATTATAAAAGTAAGTACAATATACAACTTATTATTGTCAAATTTTCTTTACTTATATCTTTAAATTACAGGTAGAGAAAAAGAGGCTGGAATTGGAGGAAAGAAGATTATATCTAGAGCAGAGAAGATATGACTTGGAGGTAGAGAGACATTCTAGGGGGTTTATGGTGTGTGACTCGCAGAAAGTGCTGAAATATTATATTGTACCTGCTGGGTTTACTGATTTCATGTCATGAGATTAAATAAATCCTAACGCAAGGTTTTCCCTTATTCTTCGTCCATCATGCACTGTGCCATTATAGCATAGGTCATCATTTTCCTGTGGCGGAAGTACTTCACACTCAGGCAACTGTATCCTGTGATTAATGCACATATTGTGCAAAACCGCTGTCGCTACTATCACCTGAAATTGGAGGGAAAATTTGATAGAGTATATCAAAAGATATTTTTGGATTTAAAAATATTCATTTGAAATTTTCATAAAGTTATTTGTTTATACCTTGCATGCTTTCGAAGGATTAAATAACAGAGGACCTCCAGTTTTATCAAGACAGCGAAAACGGCCCTTCCACACACCAAAACATCTTTCAACAGAGTTTCTAGCTTTCATATGACGAGCATTATAACGATGCTCTGAGGGAGTAGAAGGCTGTAAATATGGGATCATCATCCATGGTCTTAATGGATATGCTGAATCACCCTAGAGCCACCCCTCGCTAATTTCACCTATATAAAATATTCATGCATCTATTAACATTTTAAAAATGAGCTATTAAGGAACACCCCTTTTGTAGGAACCCTATGTCATACATTAATAAACTTCGTACATAGATTAAACCAATAATATCTAATAAATTTATGGACAAATATGGAGTAACAGCAGAAATTTTTCCATTTAAAAAGACAAATTTCATTGTCTGGTATAGGAAGGCGGCGCAATACCCAAAAGTTGCAATTAAAATTTGGTATATTATATTTAAAATCCTACGGAAAAGTAATTACAACCATGTATTTATTGAATGGAAATGAAAATTCATTATATTTTTTTGCATACAATACTGCATTTCCCTTATATTTCTTTACCGTAGTATTAACTTGGGGGGGGGGGGGGGGCTGTACTTCAATGAACATTTTTCAAAAGTAAAATTAACGTTGCGTACAAAACTGCCCCCCCCCCCCGTTGCTACGTGCCTGTATATACATGTTTATACAAAGCACAAGGCAATGCGCTTTCGTCCAATTTATTTTTATTGTGAATATTACATACCGGATTCAAACTTTGTTGAAAGAGCACTGTCTGTCCATATGAAAGAGTCATGACTGCTCCCTGGCCACTTAGCGACGATGTTGGTGAATCTGAGATCGGAGTCGCACACCCCCTGAACATTTATTGAATGGAAACATTTCCTATTTACATACAAATGTTCATCTTTACTAGGTGATCTTATAGCAACATGTGTACCATCAATGCAACCCAGAACATTGGGGAATTTAGACATTTGAAAGTATTTTTGCATGACATGGATTTTCTCTGCATTATCAGTAGGAAACTTAATAAAATCACTAGCATATTTACTTATGCTACAAGACACATCATCAACTATACGAGAAACGGTCATTCTTGACATCCCCTGGGAATCTCCCAAAACGCTGAAAAAACTACCAGTAGCGTAAAATCTCAAGGCAGTTAATACCTGTGATGAAACACTGATAGCTTCATTTCTCTTTGTTGGTCTTTCCAAATCACCTCTTACCAATTCACACACATTTTCAATTAGATTTCTGTCTAAACGATACCGCTCTATCAAATATTGGTCGTCATAATCATGTAGATTTTCTCTTGTCTTAAAAGTTCTTTTTTTCCTCCCACTTTGTAGAAATATATAAGCCGACGCCATTCGTGTAATAATTCGAACTTAACTTCTAATATCTATTGTGAATAGTGTTTAATTGTGTCTTGACTCGCAGACCTCTGAATACTACTCTCAGTTTCTCTGTGATTACCGGCCGAGTTAAGCTGTCATTGATTTCCAATCATAATTAATGTACACATATGTATATCCTATAGGGTTATTTTGTTTAATATACATGTTTAAATTGCTATATACATGTACACAAGACATAAATGCTATTTATTGACTTGAAGAGGTATTAGAGTATCTTATTAATTAAAAACAAATGAAATAATTACAATATTCATCGTTAAATTTAAACAGTTTTTACGTATAATGTGTTCAGGTTCTGTATAACACGCACTTAAGTCACCTATGTTGATCGCCTAAGTTTTGCTAAGATTTGTATTTCTTAGCATCCTTTATGATACGGACTTAAGACAAATAATGTACTTATGTCTTACTTAAGTATGGTCTTAGACTTAAGTACTTTTTATGTTACGACCCCCTGACCCCTTTTCCGTGTTATGATGTTTTACATGCAATAACTTTCCACACATTTTATAAGCAAAATACGTGTACATATGGAATGTAAATATTACTTACTGTATGCAGTATTAATTTTAGATACTAATTACTAGCAAGTTCCCTTTATCTATAAAATAATCATATCGGCATTGCTGTGGGCTTAAAAATAAATATGTTCTGAAGAATAGCCACATTCATTTTTTAACGTGCACATTGACATATAATTTATGGGCAAAAGGTAACTAATGTTTAAATTGCATTTTCTGGCTCCCAGGGTGTGGTCGCAATTTAAATATCAAATTTTGTTAAAGCGTTGCAGTTGTTAGCGGCCTGATAAAATTATCATCGTCTCATCCATTCACCTATTTGAAATGCATTACATCTATAAAATCTTATAATTTACTTAAATGATTGCTGTTCTTTGGAATATATAAATTTTGTAGATTTTTTAATATTCTATACGTGATGTTCACATTTTAGTATCTTTGGAATTGTATTAATCTTTGATTGTTATAAATTAACAATTAAGATCAAATTCATTCATATTGGTTATTACATTTTTTTGATAAATTTGGATTTATTACAATAATTAAGGAATGAATTTAATAGCTACCCATTTTATACGGTATAAACTGGGTTGGAACAGTTTACGCTTTCTTATAAACCGCGAAGCGTTTACGCTTTTAAAAGCGTAAACTGTTCCAACCCAGTTTATACCGTATAAAATGGGTAGCTATTAAATTCATTGCTTATAATTTAATTTTCACTCATTTGATGTAAGAAAAAAAGATGATTGTTCTAACAAAATGACTTTAGTTTGTACAAAATTTGAATGTAACGTCAGGCGGATTGATACGTTTTTGACGTAAGTCATTGTGACGTAGGCAACCCATTTTATACGATATGAAGTAAATTTTTTATCCAATCAAATACAGCGTTACAACCAGAATTAAATTATTTAAGGAATGACTCTAATTCTTGGCCAGATTATCGAGTATAATATGGTTTGGGTCAGTTTACGCTTTATAATCCGCGAAGCGGATTATAAAAAAGCGTAAACTGACCCAAACCATATTATACTCGATAATCTGGCCAAGAATTAGAGTCATTCCTTATAATTTAATTTTAAAATAATTAAACAACTGGGGATGTAAAATTGTGTTGTTTTTATTAGTTCAAATTTACCGCGCAATAATACAACCGTAGTAACGGAAGTGATGGGAAGCAAGGGGAGGTAAAAACTGATACATAGATCTAGCAGCCATGATGCTTGTTTACATGAGGTAAGATCGAGCAACTGTTTGAAGTTAAAGGTACATTCATTAAATCTGGAATTTTTCATGAATCCGAAGGACTGGAAATGAGGGGATTGATGGATACAGATGATTCAGCTGGTTGTCAAGGGGGTGTGTCCCCATACCAAACCAGATTATACAAAATGTTATGCGTTCCTTTTTGGAAATCAACCAATGAGAGACAAGAATACAAACAGAATTAAATTATTAAGATATGTAGTGTGATCTTAAGCCTTTACTTTATTAGACTTTACGTTTGCTGTGAAGTTCCTTGTGTATTTTGACGCCATTCTTGAAGCACACGTGTATCCGGTAACTTGCAGTCGCTGATCAATCTCTCACAAGAGGACGTAATACGCTTCGCTACAAGACCCATGTCAACGTCTAAATGAAATGCCAAGATTCTTGACAAAACCTACTTTTACGTATAACGTATTACTTTTACATATTGCATCATTAATTTTAATTTTTTTTAAAGATTTGTATTCTTGCATTAAATCTTAAATTAAAGTTTATTTATGAAAATTTATAACAGATATATAGCTAATTCAACAAATCTTATAAGGTTTTCTTTTCCAGAACGGCCGGGATATTGCCAACAAATATAAACATGTTTAGTTCTTTAAACAAAACACTTTTGAGCATTGACACATGTACAGAAATGTAAAAGTGATAATCATCCTGTTGGCCATTTTTTAACAACATTTCATGATTTGAAATAAAAAATCACGTCTCCGCTTACCGTTCTACTTTAAGACGTTGACAGAGGTATAGGTGGAATGATAACTAGATTGCATCACCTATATTTCAAAGACGTATATAATAAGTAACAAGAAACATATATTGACGCAAGCGTCAAAAATCGGCCGCAAACCAATTAATTGTTCCATTGATATTTAGCAATTAGAAAATGAAATTTGCGTGACCTGTTTTTAAAATTTCTTTTATTTATCTATTAAAATATCATCGTGACATGAAACACTTGCATGCGACATTGCCGATTTTCTTTAAGGAATGACTCTAATTCTTGGCCATATTATCGAGTATAATCTGGTTTGGGTCAGTTTACACTTTATAATCCGCGAAGCGGATTATAAAAAAGCGTAAACTGACCCAAACAAGATTATACTCGATAATATGGCCAAGAATTAAAGTCATTCCTTATAATTTAATTTTAAAATAATTAAACAACTTTTGATGTAAAATTGTGTTGCTTTATATAAGTTCAAATTTACCGCGCAATAATACAACCGTAGTAACGGAAGTGATTTGAAGCGAGGGGAGGTAATGACTGATACATAGATCTAGCAGCCATGATGTTTGTTTACATGAGGTAAGAACGAGTTATTGATTAAAGTTGAAGGTACATTAATTTATTAAATCTGGAATTTTCCATGGATTCTGAGGACTGGAAATGAGGGGATTGCATGGATATGATGATTAAGCTGGTCGTCAAGGGGGTGTGTCCCCATACCAAACCAGATTATACAAAATGTTATGCGTTCCTTTTTGGAAATCAAC